AAACTTGGGCACTCTTCAGGGTGATGCAATACTAGGAATTATACTTTGGAGCCAAAAGGTCACTGCAAATCACAGGGTCATTTTAGAGATGAAAGGGACTGAAGAGAATGTTCTCAGATAAGAAAACAGAGGTTCAAAGAAGCTGGCTCATAGTCCAGGGCCGCATGATTAGTCTTATCTCCTGAATACCAGCTGATAGTGCTTCCACTGTCAGTTCAAACAAACTGCAGCAAGGGTTGGCTCCTTTACCCTTGTGGATGAGAAGAGGTATCTAAAACTTGTATTTTCATGCTAGATGTCCATCTGTATATGCTACATATTCTAGGAGAAGAGTTTTAATTTTAATTACTAAAAAGAGTTTCATTGTTAGGCATCCCTATGCTTTGAGCCACTGGCCAGTAGAAAGTAGTTGATTCTGTAAGAGCATCAATTTCTCCTAATGTGGAACAGTTTCAAGTTTCAGCAACCTCAGGAAACTGGAGAAAATGGTAACAAGCCATCATTTACTGATCATTTATTGTGCTCTAGATGTTATCAAGAATTCAATTTCTTTTCATCATATTTAATCTTCACAACCCATTTTACACATCAGGAAATTGAGACAGTGTTTAAATGGCTTTCCCAAGTTTTTTAATCAATTTTTTTAAATCACATATTATTTCTTAGTTTTCCAGTGTCTGTCTTACACTAGAATAAAATATGTTAATCGATTTTGTTCCTTCTCTTACACACTGAAAATGGAGCCGATCCCAAGGAGAACTAAAAAGTTGACGAACTACAAGTTGTCAAAGAAGGTTCAAAAATGGTTTTAATAAGTCTAATACAGTAATATGAAATTGTATGAATGTCTACATTAAAAAATATTTTATTAATTTGGTATTAAGGTATCTAAGTAAGAATGAGAACCACATTTGTTTTGAAAAAAAAATCCTCACAAGTGCCTGGGGGAGAAAAGAGAGACTTGAATTTTGGGCAGAATGGGGTTCTTCAGAAGAAAAGAGAGAAATGTTCAAGTCATCTGAAAGATGACAGAAGGAAAGAAAATAAGAACAAAATGAAAGAATAGAGCCAGTAAGATAGCAGAAAGCTGGCTGGGGTACAATGGGACCTCTCCCTATGACTCCTCGAATACTCAGCAAAGTTATTAAACATTAAAACCTTGAGTGGAGGTGGACTTTTGTGGAATAGAGAAGGAGCTAAGCCTTACACTTATACTGATTTGGGGCAAAACATTAACAGCACAGTCAGAGGCCAACGCAGATGGAGGGACCACGCTGTGTCCAGGATACTGAGATGAACAAGAAAAACCAGATGCAAATTTTTAAGATTTAGATGAATTGAGTTCCATAGCATTCCCAAAGCACTTCCACAGTTACTTTCTGACCTATTCTTCAACACAACCTTGTGTATTAGGCAAAGCAAGGGTGAATAGCCTTCTCTACAGAGAAGAATATTAAGGATCCCTGGTTTCTTGTCAGTATTCTTCGTATTTTGTCCCACTGTGCTATTCCAAGTATGTCACCATGTGAGAATTCCCCATTAGTACTCCTTAGGCAGTCGCAGAATAGCACCTAAAGTGACATGACAGTCTCTAATTCACTGTTGCAGACTTTCCCACAAAATTCTCATCAAGCCACAAAGACGTTTAAGGGAACATAAAACAAAGTAGCTGTTAACTGCTCTGGTCCTTAGATGGTAGAGGTGAGTCACTGCTTCAACGCTATGGATAGAGAAAAGACCCATTTCAAGCAAAACAATTGGCTTTAGGTAGGCATGGAACTATCCCCACCTCCCCTTGCAGTGCTCCTGTTCTGCATGTGTATTCTCACAAAAGGAAGAAGAGCAAGCTCAACGTGTAAGGGACTTAGGGGGTTAACCCCTCTTAAGAACATGTGCATTTAAACAAACAGAAAACACTGTTGAGAAAGGCATAGGGAGCTTCTTGGTGCTTTTTGTGTGGGGATCGGAGGGTAGGGAGTTGTAGTTGGTTTAACGCTGCTCTTTAGAGGGAGGGAAAAAGAATTACACCAAGTCCAATTTACAACTGGAAGTAAAACTACACTCTCAACTGTAAGATTCTATGATTCTAAATATGAATCAAGGAAGAGTGGTAAGACTTCAGGCATTGATTTAGAAATACAATGAAGCAGCCAAGAAACATCCCTCTAGTGATCAGTCAGTATGAACTAGGTATGATGCATTAATAACCAATCCCCAATCTCAAAACCTTGAAATAAAACAAAGATTATTTCTCTTTCGTGCTATGTATCCACTGGGAGATAGGCTCTGCTCATCATAGCTACTTGGGCATCCAGTCTAAAGGAACAGCCATGTTGGAAGTTGCTGGTTTCTGTGCTGAAGGAAAAGGAAGAGCTACTGGACTTCCCACTGGCCATTAACTCCTCTGAGCCCAGAAAGGACACACGCTACTTTGGCTCATAGTTCAGTGACCAGAACTAGTCACATGTCCCCAAACAACTAAGAGACCAAGAAGTTTAATCCTCCCATGTGTCCAAAAGGCAGAAAGTCCACATTAATTCCCAGAGAGCATCATAATCTATCAATTTGGCTTCTTAGGGTCTAGATACACTTCAGAAAGGGGCTTGAATACCATTCCCCATTCCAGGTTCTCAAGTACAACTAATTGACAATAAACCCTAAAAATAACAGAAAATGAAGTACAACTGAAGACCAGTCTTCTCATTTTTAATTACTGTAAGTTTCTTGCTAATTCTGAAAATGAGATGATATGATAAATGATCACGTTGGTGCTCAACCAACACTTTAAAGTTCTTTGTTTCCATTTATGTTAGCAGCATATCTGGTCAGGACCTGAGTCCTCCTTGAGGTGCACCAAGGAGGCATGTACATATCAAGGTAAGTGTCTAAATACTGGGATTTGGGATGGTAATTGTGCCCCTGACTCTCAAGGTGTCCCTGATTCAATGTCAAACATATTTTGATTTTTAAAAACATACTTGAACTAATAGTAATCTTGAAGGCTTACCTTCTGGGTAAAAATTAAGCTTTGAAATCATCTAAATGTTATCATCTTCATAACTGCAGGAAGGCAGCGGAGCTCAACAGAGCCAACAATGCTGTCTCCGTGCCAAGTCTTTAATAAGCCAGAAATAAGACAAAAGGTGAGCCTAGTGAGCAAGCAACAGACCTAGTGATACAGAAGAGTTTCTGCGTGTAGGGCCAAAGAATGTAGTGATACTATATTAAAAAATCAGGGGGGAAAAAAAGAATTTATCCTTCCAGAACCTTTTCCCTGCTTCAGTCTTACCAATCTGTCTTGATGTTTACTCTCTGTGCCTGCGGCAGTCATTTCAATATTCTGAATCAGTAATCAAGACACCTCTCTGGTCTGGCAATGACATCACCATCTCATCATCGCAGCCATTTGCTGAGTGTTTACTACGTATAAGACCCTCTACATAGATGATCTCTTCTAATCCCCACCACAACCATCTGAGATAAGTATTATTATGCTTATCTTAAATTGAGGAAACTGAAGCTTTAAAAAGTTATACAATTTTCCCAAGATCACTCTGACAATAACTGGTGAAAACATTACTTTAACCCAGGACTTGGGACTCCAAACAGTATGCTTCTCCCATACATTTGTCATATTTGCTAAGTGCC